CCTGCCCATATGCACACAAGCACACATTACACACCCAACTCTATGTGTTCATCCACACGTGTGCACCTAAACATAAGTGTAGACATGCTTACGCATGTGAAGCTGCAGGAAGCAGTGCTGAGGATTGTGTATGGGCTTTTGACTGTAGCTGCTGGGCTCCAGTCCTCCCTCTCCTAAGCTATGCGACTGGGAGCAAGTCATGTCACACTTCACTTGATAAGAATATTGCCTGGGCTTGGTGGCTCATGGCTGTAATCCAGCACTTTGGGAGGCCGAGGTGGGCAGATCATGAGGTCAAGAGATTGAGACCATCCTGGCCATTATGGTGAAACCTTGTCTCTACTAAAAATACAAAAATTAGCTGGGCATGGTAGCACGCACCTGTAGTCCCAGCTACTTGGGAGGTTGAATCAGGAGAATTGCTTGAATCCGGGAGGTGGAGTTTGCAGTGAGCTGAGATTGCGCCACTGCACTCCAGTCTAGGCAACAGAGCAAAATTCCATCTCAAAAAAAAAAAAAAAAAAAAAAAATACCAACCATGCCAACCTTTGGTATTTGTTCTGAGGTTTTCACATGAAAAAACATGGAAAGTGCTTAGGACTCCAGAATGCTCATTCAAGCATTCAAGTTACTATCATCATCATCATCATCATCCATGTATTTCCACCTAGGGACACCAGTGAGCAAGGAAGCCTCTGAGCTATTTGTTCTAGTGACCCTTCTTGCCTGGAAAGCTCATCCTCATGGAGCTGGCAGCCAATAGGAAGTGGAAATTGCCTCCGACAGACTGACAGGTTGCCCAGAAAGGTGGGATTGCTGAAGAATCAGAGCCCAGCTTCTGTTTGCATGCCCAGCTTAAATACATAACAGCAATAACACAGCCTCAACTGCAAAGAATAAAAGAACTCAATCTGTTTCTGCAAATTAGCTTACAAATTTTCAAACTTTCTTTGCAACTATGTTGGGTTTAGGAGAACGACCCTTATTACCCAACTATTATGAGACTAACTTTTGTACTGAACGTTGAAGATAGAAAAGTGAAAACACTTGCCCTCTGCCCTGCAGCAGGGCATACTCTAGTGAGGGAAGCAGCGTCATAAATAGCTCACGATGGCAGGTTACATAAGCGTTTCTATGAGTTAAAGTCATGGAGTTATTGAAACCCAAGGAAAGGGGTGTGTTACCAATGAGGGTGGGAGGGTGAAGAAAGTGCCTGAGGATGGCTTTACAGCAGGAGTGAGATTCTAGCTGGAATTGAGGGGTTGGATAGTCACGGGAAGAGTGAGGTGGGGATGGTGTCCCTGACTCAGGGAACAGCACGTGCCAAGTCTGGGATGAGCTACTTGTGTGTAGCTGCAGTTTAGGGCTTGCACATGGGCAACCCAATACTGGGAAGGCAGGCAAGGGAAATGCTGTCCTTTCTCTGCCCATGCCTGAGTTAATCAGGTGCTCCATGCAAGACACCACCCGAGAATGGAAAGTGACCTTCAGCATTGTCCGCGGTGTCTTTCCATGATCTTGGTTGTGTTGTCTTTAAAGCTCGCCTCTTCTGAGAACTTTTCCCTACCTCCTGCTTACTGTGCCTTTTCCACACATTCATGTCCTCATTGCTTGAACCAGGTGTGCATGGAACATGTGAATGTTACTCCCATCGTATACCCAGAGACACCATTTGAGCTCAAGGAGCTTGCGTTGAATGGAAAGAATTGAGTCCTTTTTAAATGGCCAATTGCTGTAGGGGGAAAGGTATTTAATTGGCTCATTGTCTTTTTAAAAAATTATTATTAAAAGCATTCAAAAGTGCAGCTCAATGTAGAGTTGCTGCACACCTTTGCAGTGTCAGGAGTAATCCACTCCTCTCCTGAATGCCAGCTGTCAGCCTCATCAGGAGGCACAGAGCCTGCTCCCAGAGCAGCTGGGTAGGGGCACAGGAGCCTCCTTCCCTCCCACCATGGAGCAGGAGGACAGGCCTTCTACAATTGTTGCCTTCACAATTGTGAATTCAAATAACCCAGTTACATAACCCAGCATCTGTGATGGTCCATTGTTCTGGCCAGCCCTCTCGGCTTTTGTCCCTTCCTCCGTGCACCAGATCCTGAATGTTCACCCGTTACAGGGACCACGCGGTACTCTGCATTCTTTTTTATTTTCTTTCCCTCAGTTGAAATGGATCTTTGCATTCACCAGTTATTTACAAATATTCCAGTTTCCTCCTCCTCAGTGGGCCATGATGTTTCCTAACTTGTTAAAATTAGAGGGCTAGGGGTATGGGGGCATAAAGGTAGAAATCACACTTGTATGATAGCTCTGTAAATAATATATACTTGGAGGAAAACAAGCCAAGTTGCCAAAATTGGTAGTTAAGTTGCAGGAGAGACTGCAGTCATTGTCTGGGTGTGGACGGAACCCTCCTTCTTTCCCTATATGGCAGATTTTATGATGTCAGGTTGCACCCAGCTCTAATTAAAAGATCCAGTTGCCCTTGTGTGCCAGGGTGCTATTTTACCTTTAGTATCTCTCTCTTTTTATTTTTTTGGTGACAAAACTATTTTCTTTTTACATTTGTTTCCTCCAGAAAAGGCATGATAGAACTGAACAACAACAACAAAAAAGCCATAAACATGGTGCCCCAAGCTAAGTAACCTTTAAAAAAAAAAAAAAAAGGAGTAATACCCACTCAATTGAAACAGGGTTACTTGGTAGGTTTCTACCTTTGGCTCCTTGGCAAGGCCTAGAATGAACAGTTGTTGTGAATGAGGCTACTGCTGAAGTCTGGCTTTGTCTACCTGGGGTACCGACTCTATGGTTTTGATTGAATTGAAGCTCCTGTTATTTAGGGGACCCTCTCTGAGGAATCCACTCCCTGAGTCAGCAGTTTAGATGGCCAAATTGGCCATGATCCCAACATTTCCAGGAGCATCCCAGGCCGAGCCATGTGGCTCTCCTGGTTTCCAAGTGGACTCAGTATTTGGGTTATCCAAACATTTCCTTTAGGGTGTGGTTCCATATGCCATGGTCTTGCGTGGGAATCATCCATCAGGTTCACAGATCCAGAAATGCCTGTGATCTGACCTAGTACAACGTGTGGCCTGAGTTTCAAAACCTGAGAGCGATGTTAATGGTGGTGATGTCTTATCTCCTTCTCGCTGGAGTTTATTCACTCATGAACCCACCCAGGTTAAGATCACATGTACAGATACCACTCACTGAGTGATCTCTATGTGCTGAACAGTGAATCAAATGCTTTGAGTCTTACATCATTGGATTCTCCCAACAACCCTATTATTATCCCAATTTTATGAAAGAAGACACTGAGGCCCAGAGTGATTGATAAAAAGACTTCAGGCCAAACAACTCTTAAGGGAGGAAGCTGAACTTGGACTCTGGGAAGCCTGATGCCAGAATCTGTGACCAAAAGCAGAAACCTCTAAGCCTCATCCATTTGTTTCTTCAGGAAATATATTTGGATCAATTTTTATGTTTCTTTGTTTGAGAAAATGTCAAACAATGTCCCTTGATCCAACAAAAAAGATAGAGTGAAATCACATATAATGAAACCAATTTTGTTCTCATTAACATTATAAAGAAAGTTGAATAAAATGGTGTTATTCCAACACCTGCTTTATGTTGTTTCACTGAAAGTGGCAGTTTCCAAGAACCTATAGGGACGTTGAGTGACAACTTAACTTTATACTGAAATGTGATCTTAATGGAGATTGTCTTTATCTTCTATTTCTATGGAACAAATTACCACAAACTTAGAGATTTTAAACAACAATAATTTACTGTCTCACAATTTCTATGGATCAGAAGTCCAGGTAAGCTTGGCCAGATTCTCTGCTTAGGGTCTTAAAAGCAAAAGTCAAGGTATTGGCTGGGTTGGGCTCTTATCTCCATGCTCTGGGGAGGAATTTGCTTCCAAATTCATTTTGTTCCTTGGTCAAATCCAGTTCTTTGCAGTTGCAAGGACTGAAGTGTCAGTTTTCCTCCTGGCTGTCAGCCGGGACCACTTTCAGCTTCTAGAGACCTCTATTTGGTCCTCATTACATGGCCTTTTTCATCTTCAAAGCCAGTGATGGCTGGTCCAGTCATCCTTATACTTTAAATCTCACTGACTTCCCTTCTGCCTCCAGTTGGTGGAAATGCTCTGCTTTTAAAGGGCTCACCTGACTGAGTCAGGTCCACCTGCACTTTCTCTCCACATGTTAACATCACCTAATTGCATCCGCAAAATCCCTTCACAGTAGCACATAGATAAAGGTTTTTCAATAACAAGGGAACCAGAATCTTGGGGGCTGTCATTGGGATTCTGCCTAACACGAGGTAAAATTGAGCACTGGAAGCTGGGTATATGAGTGGGGCAGAGAGCAATGTCAGGGGGGCTATGATGCACTTAGATGTCCCTGTCACATCCTGCCCAGGCCTCCACCAGGTGGTCTTATCATCATAACCGTGCTTCTTATCTGTCTGCTGGTCTTCATTTCCCATTTGTAAAAATGGGATACAATTATTCAACACCTCATAGAGGTTTTGAGAGAATTAAATGGGGAATTAAATTAAATGCTTGTAAAAGGTTTTGCACAGTATCTGGCATGTCATGGACGTTAGATAAACATTGGCTGTTATCATTACTATTATTATCCGTGATTATGTAATTAAAAGAAACATTATTCATGCTAATAAAAAATGTAAAAATAAATAAAGGGATGGTTTTTAAGCTCGTTTTCTAGGACAATTTAGAAAGTGCCTGGGTGGGCAATTTGTTTTCAGGGGCAACCACCTAGCTTTTACTCTAACTGCACATTCCTCCAGGGGGCAGTGTGTCCCACCCAGGAAATCCTCAGAGCCACCATGCTCTAGGGATAATCAGCATAATAACAATAGCAAACTTACATAGGGCTTGCTGTACACCAGGACTCTGCTAAGAACTTTCTGTATTTTGACTCAATCTTTCGCTACAAGTTTGTGAAACAGATACTAATATTGTTCCCTTTTTACAGTTCAGGAAACCGAGGCTCAGTAACGTCTCACAGCTCCTAAGAGGCAGGAGTGCAAACTCACCCAAGCCGTCTGGCCCAGCCTCAGGTATTTCTCTCTCCACTTCTCCTCTCCTGCTCTTGTTTATCAAACCACTCACTTTTCCAGACCATACCCAGGTTGCTCATTTCTTCCACGTAGCCTGCCCACTGCCTGGGATGCCGGCTCTCGTGTTTCCTCTTTCTTCTCTGTTGGCCTTACATTTATGCTATAATGCATCTTTTCTTTTTGAGATGGAGTCTCGCTGTGTTGCCCAGACTGAGTACAATGGCTTGACCTCAGCTCACTGCAGCCTCCACCTCCCAGGTTCAAGCAATTCTCTTCCCTCAGCCTCCCAAGTAGCTGGTACTACAGGCATGTGACAACACGCCCGGCTAATTTCTGTATTTTTAGTAGAGATGGGGTTTCAGCATGTTGACCAGGCTGGTCTTGAATTTCTAACCTCAAGCAATCCACCCACTTCAGCCTCCCAAAGTGCTGGGATGACAGCTGTGGGCCACCGTGCCTGGCCATCTTCTTAAGTTTTAATGGGCACCCAAATAGCCTGGAAACCAGCTTTAAAAGAACATACTAATTCAAGTAGTTTGGAGATGGAGCCTGAAACTCCGCACTTCTGATGAGCACCTAAAGAGGCTGGCTGATCCATGGGCGATCTTGTGAGTACCCAGACTTATATGGACTATGAGCTCCATGAAGGCAGAGATCATGGCTGTCATGTCTCCATTTTCTCTTCTATAAAATGGGCGTAATATCACTGTACTTTGTCCCTAGTTTAAGTCAACATTTTAAAACAAATGATGGAAAATGAGATTCCTTCTTATCCTGTTTTCTAATTTTTCCCTTTCCCTTTCTCTTTTATACACACACACAAACACGCGCACACACACACACACACACTGCTAAAGTCTCTTTTATCTGAGTTGTTTCTTTCTCTTGTATAACCTCTGGGGATCTTTTTAAGTTCTCACAAAACCTTCATGGCTCTTTCTCTCTGATATTTTTAGTAATGAAAGTTCGCTTTTTAAAGTTGATTATAACCTGATTCAGCATCAGCCTGCAAAAGGAAGCAGGGAATCAAAGCTTTAAACATGAAGTGGAATTCACTGCTCGACCTTGTTGGGAAAGTTCTTGCTCACTTACCTTTCTCCTTCAGCCTCTGGTCCTTAGGTTGAGCTATCGTCGTCTTTATCGTCTCTTCCTCTGATTCTCATTTGTATTTTCTCTCTTTGATCCTGGATTTGTCCTTTGTCAGCTGTGTCTGATGATACAGCTCAATGATTGCATCTTAGATTGTCCCATTATAAACTATTTTCTTCTAGCTATTTTCAAATGTGTGATAGGTTAATGTTAACTATAGTCACCCTATTGATCGCTATAACACTAGGTCTTATTTCTTCAATCTAACTGTACATTTGTACCCATTAATCAACCTCTTTTTTTTTTTTTTTTTTTTTAAGATGGAATCTCTCTCTATTGCCAGACTGGAGTGCAGTGGCACGATCTCAGCTCACTACAACCACTGCCTCCCAGGTTTAAACGATCCTCCTGCCTCAGCCCCCCAGTAGCTGGTATTACAGGCACATGCCACCATGCCTGGCTAATTTTTGTATTTTTTGTAGAGATGGGTTTTCACCATCCTGGCCAGGCTGGTCTCAAACTCCTGACCTCAGGTGATCCACCCACCTCGGCCTTCCAAAGTGTTGGGATTACAGGCATGGGCCACTGCAAGCAGCCTAATCAACCTCTTTTTATCCCCCACTCCCACCCTTCCTGGACTCAGGTAACCACTAACCTACTGTCTGTCTTCAGGAGATCTACTTTTATTGCTCCCACATATAAGTGAGAACATATGATATTTGTCTTCTGTACTTGACTTATTTCACTTAATATAATGACCTCCAATGACATCCTCATTGCTGGAAATCACAGGATTTCATTCTGTTTATGGCTGAATAATATTTCATTGTGTATATATACCTCATTTTCTATATTCATTCATCCATTGATGGGAGTTTAGGTTGATTTCATATTTTGACTACTGTGAATAGTGCTGTAATAAACATGGGAGTACAGATATCTTTCTGATTTATTAATTTCCCTTCTTTTGGATGCATACCCAGTAGTGGAATTGCTGGATCATATGGTAGTTCTGTTTTTAGTTTTTTGAGACACCTCCATGCTATTCTTCCTAGTGACTGTACTAATTTACATTCCCACCAATAGTGTGTGGGAGTTCCTTTTTCTCCATATCCTCACCAGTGTCTACTATTCCCTGTCTTTTTAATAAAAGCCATTTCAACTAGGATGGAGTCATATTGCATTGTGGTTTTGACTTGCATTTTTCTGATGACTAGTGGTGTTAAGTATTTTTTCATATACCTGTTGACCAATTGTATGTCTTCTTCTGAGAAATGTCTGTTCAGATCTTTTGACCATTTTTTGATCAAGTTGTTATTCTATGATTTTAGGTTTTTACATATTCTAGTTATTAAGCCCAGACCCAAGTTTTGAAAGAGTGTCTTGTGGACCATCAGCCTGTTAATCATTTTTAGTTTGAAACCACTGATACAAATTAAAATAGTGGCAAGATAAGGTATAATAAGGAAACCAAAATATCCTGCAAACTTGGGGCATGAGATGAGGTTCACTCTCTTTAGAAATCAAATAACATGACTTTAATTTCTCATCACACCCCTTTCTGTACTTTCTCCTTTTGTCATAGACGCATCCATCACTTACCAAGGAGCAAATCTGTTTGAGAAAGGCCGTTCTGCCAGTTCTTTAGCCCCTGCACTGGAGAGAGATCTTCAGCAGGATCTATTGAGCCTAGAGGCCATCACAGCTTTTCCTAGATGTTGATCCTTACATGGCACAACCATTGTTCCTGTTGTTACCATCGACACCCAGGCACGTCAACCAAGTGCCTCCACTGCAGGCGCTAGGAGCATGTGGCTGCCTGTTATCCCAAGATTCCCATCCTGATTGTGCTTCATCTCATGCAGGAGCTAGAACTCAATCGTGTTCCCCTAGAACTAGGGCAATGTAACCACTGCTACCACCAGTACTGGAGAAGGGAAGGGGGTGGAGAAGCCCACGTGAAGAGGGGACATGGTAAGTTCATTTATCTCACCCCTATGAGGCCCAGGAAATTTACCTTCAATCCTGAGTCCTAAGATAGCCCCTTTCTTCTCTGCTCTCAAAGCCTACCTGCTAGAGAAAGTTTTGCACTTTGTGCCTCCTGGACTCCTGGACCCCAATAGTCAGTCCCTCCCACCCCAATAAAAAGATCCTAAAACAGTTTACTTCTCAAGCTCTGGGAAATTTAGTATTCTCATTGGTCACTTTGCTGTAAAAGTAGAACCCCAAGTCAATGCATTTGAAAAGAAAGACCCTAGTTTAGTAGTCTAGGACTTTGTTACAGAAGGCTTATTAAAATGCAGATTCTTGGGCCCCACTGCAAGTCTACGGAATCTGAATCTGCATTTTCACAGGTGCTCTGGGCTATTTGTGTGAACATTAGAGTTTAGAAATCACTAACTTGAAGATTGTCAAGCTTCTGTCAACTAAACAATATAACTCTTTTAATAAATGAAATTTTATGCAGACTCTTGGTCTACGAAAATGGGTGATCTGGTGGGAGTGAGCCAAGCACCCCACGCTTTCAGTTTACAACCTGGAACCTCTCGGAAGAATACCTGGAACTCAAAGGGGTTTGGCTTGAAAACCACTCATCTCATTACATCTGAGAAAATGGGCTCAGAGAGGGCAGGTGACATACCCCAGGCACACAATCAATCAGTGGTAGGTGCAGCCTTTCCCAGGACCAAGTGACCTGACTTCCTGACTTCCTAAGTGAGTACCCGTTACTGGGCCAATTATAGAAACAGACTTAATTCAGGCAAGGAGAAGAGACAGCCTCCTTTATTGACTACCTATTTTTGAATCTCTTTGTGACCAGTCTACATAACATCCAATTCCCCTTTGGTCCAGGGCTCAGGTTTTCTGAGTGTTTTCAAAACATTATATTAGGGAGTTTCACTTGACTAGAGAAACATTTGTAAAATTCTGGAAACAGGCATCACATCCCTTCACCCCATTGCATGCCTGGGCTCAATAATATCACCATGAAGACTTGAGCATCAGTCAGAGTTTCATCAACCATGGACATGTTTACCCAGGGAGGGGAGGCTCCTATTACCCCCTCAGTTTGCTTTTAGTTGACTCATTTGCCATTCACAGTGTGAGTCCAGGTGTGAAAAAATGATAGCAGCAACAAACCAGGGAAGTATCTCGGATGGGCAAGAACTGGAGTTGAGGGTTCTGAGTTACTTCTGGGAGGTGTAGGGTCAGCTGAGGTCACAGTTACCTTGGTGGGCAGGAAGGTTTAACATGGAGGCCAAGAACATCAACTTTAATGCTGAGCTTCGCTGGCTGAATCATTCTCCACTTCCACCCACCACACTTCCTCTCAACTTCCAAGACTATCTAATATTTTTTCTGGGAAGCTGACCTTGGCTTTAGCACACACGTCCCAGGTAAGAAACGAGTTACATGCACCATTGGTTCTTCAAGTCCAACACAAACTCCTTGGTAATTAAGTGAGCTCTTTATTTGTATACTCTTTCAGAGAAAGGACAGATTATTCAAGTGTTTTTGAAATGTCTCCTTAAGCATTTTACTTTCTCTCATTTCCAGATATTCTTTAGAAGCTTTTAAAAAATTATTACTTGGGAACTTTTGTTGTTGTTATTTTTCCCTGGCCTTCTCAAAAAACCTGGAGAAAACAAGAAAAAGAAATTCCAATTCCCAGACAAAAGCCTAAAGTTTCTGCCAACACAGATGGTCTGACTTAAAGAAAGTTTTTATAGGTATATATCCTTTAAAAAATGTATTTAAGTGTTTCCCATGTGAAGCAAAGAGAAAGAGGGAAACAGCTCGAAACACAGACTGCATTATCAAGTAAGAAGACCGTTCAAGCACAGCAAGATACTAAAATAATCATGGTTCACTTGGGTTTAGGGGAGAGAGCCCTTGGGGCTGCAGAGTGT